TCTAAATATATTACACTTTCTAGATCAAGAAAAATGGATGGTATTTCAATTGTTTCATGCCATATGAGGTTGTAATAATTCATTTTTCATAAGCAGGGTAAAATCTGTTCTAGAAAGATGATGCTGACAGCATACTAGTTAGTTTACTATCAGTCTATCTGTAACAAAGATCTTGCAAGGACTGAACACTGTGCTGTTTTCTGTTCTCATTATAACAGTGTTACAATGCTTAATATTACCTTATCTTTGTTATTACAGAAAATGAGCAATATCAGAAAAATGTTCCATCAGTTCTACAAGCTGTCTGTTGTCAGCGAAAATTCTGAGAAATAACATCACTTGCAACCTAGAGCTTGCAGATCTCAATATGCCTTGGAACAGTGGAAGGCTGTATAGGCAAATTAATCAGAAATTTCCAAACTGAGACATTTGAAGTACTCAGAGATACGTAGTTTTTTTAAAACAGTATGTTTTGTCAGAGTGGGTTTGATAAATGTGTCATGGGTAAGCATTTATCAGATTACAGTAGAATTTCCTGAGGTCACAGACTATCAAAATAGTCTGAAACTATTGATGAGGGTATTTGCGTAAGTGAAATGGAAGCTGGGGCTCTGGCTCCACATCTGCTTGCTTTTAAGAAACTAAACAGTAAAAGAGGTGTTGTAGCGTGGGGTGGATTGTTTGTACTTCATCTCAGGTGAAGTAATGACTTAGAAAGTACTCTTAATCCTCAAGTGTTACGCAAATGTAAAGTGGAGACATAGAAGAAAAACAAGTAATTACATATTACTCATTCTTCTGGAAAACCCAAGGTCTCACTGCTGAAGGCTGCTTATATATATTTCCACTGAGCTTCCTGCTATTACTCTGACGCAAAGTAAACAAAAATGACTTAGATCATTATTAACCAAGAATATCTTAGATCCTCTTTCAATCTATGCCATGTTCTGCATGGCAAATGGATATTCTTTGATGTTTTTATTTTATAATTTGTGGCTACATCTACTGTCTAGCTTCTTCACATGCAGCTTTGCTGGGCATTTTGGGACAATGCAGAGACATCTGAGATGCTCTACACAAGGTAGCTATGGTGTCATGTCACAACCTCATAGAATTCTCCCTTGTGACTGCAGTGTACATGCAAAACACTGAATGCAACTGCACCCAGAAACTGAGTGGGACCGGTGTTAGTTGGAAAACTCTCCATTGCCCTGCTGACTATGTGTGCCCAGTGTAGAAGAGGAGGACATGTGTGTCTGACGCGAGAAAATAGATTTGTAAATTCAGCTTTATTTGAAAGAAAATGCAAAACCATCTGTTCCAAATGGAACTGCAACAATCAACCCTCTAGAGAAAGAGTAAAGAGAAAAAAACAATTAAAAAAAAAATATATATATAATCTTTTTGTAAGAAAGAGTATTGAAAGCCAAGTATGCATGTGATACTTAAACCTGTGTTTCCATTGATTTGGTTTTGAAGAGCATGTGGCACTGTTCCTCCTGTCATCAGTTGTCTAGCCAAAATATGATTTACCATTACATCTTTTCTTAATAAAAAGCAGTGTCAGTCTAAGGTCAACAGATTTGTTTATATGACATCCAATATTCAAGTGCCCTCTGTGTGTCTCCCTTGTGACAGCTGCTTAGTGTGAAGTTCATTATCTCCCCTATGTTGAATCTTGATCTTCATGCTTCCAGATGATTAATCCCCTCCCTCTTCTAGCTTCTTAATCATACAACCCAAAACTACTTCTTTCCCTCCTATCAGGGACAACTGGAAGAGTTTCCCCATTGTACTGGTATCTTCTTATGAACTACCCCTGGCTACAGAGAGATCCTCTGGAATCAGTAATTTTACTAAAGCAATGAATTAAATAGCTTTTATCCCAGATAAACACATGCTCTTTAATTGATCTGCACACAATGTCTTCTAAGATTTTCAGTTTTTAAAATGCTTTAACTTTCTCTTTTGCATGTCTGTGTACCAACATGAAACTCTCTTACATCCATGTTAAAGCTGAGCTACACTGAAATCGATCAGGAGCTCCAGGAGCAATTAGCACCAGGATTCTCAAACTGATTGCTCTTTCCTTTTCCCGCCTTAATTATTTTTCCTCTATAACTTATTACCTTTTTGTGGAGTCTCCCTCTCTGGACACATTCATAACCCGTCTGGACATGTTCCTGTGTCATCTACTGTAGGGGATCCTGCCCTAGCAGGAGGGTTAGACTTGGGGATGTTCAGAGGTCCCTTCCAACTCTGATAACTCTGTGGGGTCTGAGGCATTTCAAAGCTGCAAACAGAAACATGTCTGTGACATATTCTTAGCTGTCTTCTGCCCTCATTAAAACTAATGCAGCAGCTTACGTCACAATGTGACCACCCTGTTTGCACACCACGCACCTGCCTTGAAGCATTATCACTTTAATGCCAGCTCATTCTGGGAAGTTTTGTGCAATACTTCTCATTAGTAGCTCAATGGGAAGAGACAGTAGCTCCAGCAGCACCTGGGGAAGTTTTCTACATGTTCTATCTTTGTCATCAGAAAGCTTCTGGGAAATACAGGTAGGTCAGCTGGTTAGGGATGGGTAGTTAAGAATATTGCCTATGCTAATGGAAAGAATAATCCCTGTATGGCTGAATTGTTAGCAAGAATACTATATCATTAGAAGTGAAACTGATAGAACCTGGCTTTCAGCAGTCTCAGAGCCATTTACAGCACATCACTGTAACAGTCCTCATTTCCTTCTCCTACCCCTTACCACTGAAAGAACTTCAAGTCATTCTGCAATTGCTTAACACCTTTTTCAGTGCCCCTACCTCCCTTTCATGTCTCTATTTACTCCCACAATATACTGATCTTCCTCTTCTCATTCATCACCTGCTTGGCTGAGGAAGAAAAGGAAGGGAAATTACCTAATAGTTCACCTAGGTTGCCATTGCGCACATGTTAATTGGCTATCTTTTTTTGTTTGTTTGTTTTGATTTGATTTGAAAGAGTTTGATTTTGATTGAATTTGATTTGGTTTCCTGTGAAGGAGTGTGCATGCAATGTCTCACTCCTACAGATTATTTAGTTTCCTGTGTTCAGGCTATATTACCAAGATTCTAGCTAACATATCAAGGAAAATTATTATTCTCCTCTATTCAGTAGTTGTGAGACCACAAATGAAGTGGGAGCAGATGTCCAGGGATGATGTATCACAGTATCATAGTATCATTCTGGTTGGAAAAAAACCTTCAAGATCGTCAAATCCAACCACTATCATAACTGCTACATCCACCACTGAACCCTGTCCCCTGGCACCACACCTGTCTCTTTGGATGTCTCCAGAGATGGTGACTCAACCACCTCCTCAGACAGCCTGGGTCACCAACTCCAACTCCAACCTCAGCATAGGACAACCCCAATGGCCACACCATGTCCCAGAGGGTGTTGTACAAGTGTTTCTTGAATATTGTCAGGCTCAGTGCTATCATTGCTTCCCTGGGGAGGCTATTCCAGTGCCCCACCACCCTCTGGGTGAAGAATCTCTATCTAATATCCAACCTAAACCTCCCTCTGCACCTCTTTCCTTTATCACTATTCACCAGAGAGAAGAGGTCAGCACCTACTCCTCCTCCTTTCCTAAAGAGGAAGCAGTAGCTTCTCCTTTCAGTTTCCTCTTCTCCAGGCTGAATAGACCAAGTGCCTTTAGCTGCGCCTCATACAGTATCCCCTCTAAACCCTTCACCAACCTCGAGGCCACCCGACTGCTTTATATCCTTTTTGTATCGTGGCACCCAAAACTGCACACAGTAATCAAGATAGGGCTGCACCAGTGCAGAGTAAAGTGGAACAATCACCTCCCTCAACCAGCTAGCTATGTCATATTTGATGCACCCCATGAGTCGGCTGGCCCTCCTAGCTGCCAGGGCACACTGTTGGTTCATGTTCAACCTGCTGTCAACTGGAACCCCCCCCGATCCCTCCTGCAGGGCTGCCCTCCAGCCTCTCTGTCCCCAAACTACATATGTATAGCCAGGATCACGTTGTCCCAGGTGCAAAATCCGGCATATCTCCTTGTTAAACTTAATGCGATTGGTAATTGCCCAGCTCTCTAATTTGTCCTCTCTGCCCTCAAGAGCTTCCATTGCTCCTCCCAATTTTGTGCATCCTCAGAGATGGTAAAAAATTGACTGGACAAGCTTTGAAGTTAGCCCTGCTTAAAAGGAGAGATTGGACCACATGTCAGGATGTTCCTTTCTATCTAAATTATTTTATTATTCTATACTTTGATTATTCCAAAACTTCTCAGTCAGATGTACTTAAAATTCACTAACAGACTTATAAGTTGTTTGATGGTAATGAGGGGGAAAAAAAGCAGACTGACAGGTGAGTGATCAAAGTAATGCTATTGGATTCCTTTCCTTAGAGATTTACTTGTCCTGACCACTGGCAAAAATGGTAGACAAGTAGCCAGCGTCATTCCTTGCTGAATGTTACTTGGTGCACATTCAGGTTACAATCAGGAGTTTTCTCCTGTGTCATACTGAACGCGGGTATATTTTGATGCTGCATTATTACTGCCCAGGCCCCTGTGCAGGCATGCTACAGAACTGTGTTATGATTACTTCTGTTTTGTGAGATGATTCTACGTAAGAACTTCACAGAACAAGGAAATAGTTTAGTAGCAATACTAACAGGTTGAAACACTAAAGAGTCTTCAGGCAATGACATGATAATCAGAGAGGTAAGCTTCAATAAAACATTCAGATGGACAGGAACAGGTTTGTCTTGCAATACCTCACAAAGCTATATGAGAACTATTCTAAGCTATTGTTTGAGATTTCAGGGAGTGTGAAAACAGACAGGAGAGAAGATGAACCTATGCAAATTTTATGTAGATGCCTTTGATTAGAATATTACTGAAACCATGGAGGAGGAGCACCATCTCAAGCTTATTTAAAAGCCAGAAGACTTGAGATCAGCCTCCCTTCTTTCTTCTTCATGAACAGAGATGTTGTCAAGAATTCTTCTGAGTATTCTGGCCTTGAATTGGGTTGCTACAATGTCTTCTGAACCGTAAGAGAGCATATATTCTGTGTTTTTATGATAAAATATTTCATTGCTCACCATTAATTTATTCTGGGACATTGCTATATAATAAAGTGGATGTTTGAGGCCTAGGTTCTGAAATGCATCTGAATTGACATTGAAAGATGATTTAGAATTCTGCTCTGCATCATTAAACTGCTATGAAATCTGTTTTCAGTGACAGAAACCTAGAACTGGAGTAAATGAATTTTGAAATGCATGGCTAAAGTGCAAAGGAAATTCAAGACAAGACTCGCAACTAATACTTAGATGAGACATTAAGAGGAAACTCTTCGCTATGAGAGTGGTGACACAGGTACAGGTTGCCCAGGGAAGCTGTGGATGCCCCATCCCTGGAAGTGTTCAAGGCCAGATTGGATGGGGCTCTGAGCAACCTGATCTAGTGGGAGGTGTCCCAGCCTATGCAGTGAGGTTGGAACTAGACAACCTTCAAGATCCCTTCCAACCCAAAACATTCTATTATTCTGTGATATGATAATAGGGACTATGCTGAATGGCAAACCTAGTATTAGTATTACACCTGCTGTGCTCTCATGGATTATACAGCACTGCCAAAGTCCCCAGCTTTATAGAAACAGAAGATTTCAGCCACAATTTTCAAAAATAGAGCAACGTTAGGGCTCAAATCCCCTTCTCAAAAAGATATAGAGGAAAACACTGTAAAAATCACTGGGTTTATCTTTCCCAGATATGCTGTTGGTTTTAATAACTTTACTTTTAGCCCTTGAATATCATGCAGTCTGAACTGGGCAACTGAGAATAGCAACAAAAACAATATAAGCAAGCAAAGCTGTGGGGAAAAAAAAAAAGGAGAAGATTAGATTATCAAGAGAAGATTGTGCTATTTATGTTGTACTGCAGAACTGACTCATCAATTCTGTCATACATTATTTGGAAAGACAAATTTGGGCAATAGAGAACTGGAGACCATCAATGGAATCTTAGCCAAATATACCAAATCTGAAGGAGTATTTTTCAAATAAAAAATCTGGGGAAGGAAGGCTGCTCTAATTACAGAGTAGTATAACTAAAAAAGACCAGTGGAAGAAAGAAGCAAAGGAAGCAACAGAGAGACGTAAGGAAACAGAAAAGAGCATGCAGGTTAAATTGAGCATTCCCGGGAATATTCCACAAGAAGGAAAAACAGAATAATTTCTTGTGGATTGTGGTGACTGACTTACAAATATCCAGAGAAAAAGAATTTAAAAATTTGTTGCAAGCATTAACTAGGTGGGTTTTTTTGTCATTGATCTTAAAAAGAAGCTAAATACCACTCCTCCTTATGGGAGGTTCCAAGGATTTAAGTGTACATATAAGTCATGGGGAGAATAAATGCAGTTATGCTTGATAAGTTTTTAGGCACTTTTGTAATTGGACCTGTGTAAATACCTGGAATGGAAAGATGCAGCTGGGTAAGAGACTGCATAGAATGACATCAGTCTTTTAGCTCAGAAAGTTATGAAGAACAAAAATAGAAACCCCACAAACTTGTTATCTGTACTTTCTTAGCGTATTATTCTAAACTAATTGAAATAAACAGAAATCCTTCAACTGGTTTGAGCAACCTTTGGACTATGTCTTCATTCACACAAATAGCATTTCTGTGGTATTTTCCTGTCCTGTTTGCTTTGGCTTTCCTTCATGACTGAACTTCCTGATCTGATCTTGCTTCTTACAGTCAATATATGTTGCTGGTCCCAACAGTTGTGAGGAGCAACTCTCCACAGACCGCTTGCGTGCAGTTCCACAGCCTCAGTGAGCCTCTGACCCTGAGTGTTGCCCTGGAATATGGCAGTATCCAGACTACCCTCTTTCAGGAATCTGTAACAAAGAATAATTTCTTCAAGTGTTATGAGTTCAAGGTATTTTCTCTTCAGAGACCACTAAAGAGGGTGTATAAGCTGGAAATACTCACTCAGAATAGTGCCACTCTGCTTGCCACTGAGGGCAAGAAGATGAAAAGTGTAGACAAGGAATAGGAGAAAAAAGAAGATAAAGTTATGGAAAGACTGACAATACAGACAGGAAAAAGATGTATGGGTTGTCAGGGAGAGCTGGAGGAAGACTTTCCATCGCCACTCATAGAGTCCATAGAAAAAAAGCTTTGATTGCCATCAGAGGTGCATGTTCCCTATGAGACAGACTTTCATAATTGCCAAGATGGAGAACCCAGCTGGGACATGCTCATTCCCTTTCCAGTGACTGTGCAAAATCTGGACAGATATGATAAACTAGTCCCAAGTTTAGGTCTTTCAAGTGAAGCAGGAGAAGACAGTTCAGAATTGAGGTAAATGGTATAGGGCAACCTGCATACAAGCAGGTAGCTACGTGAGATGAAGAAATGCAGAGGACAGGGCATAGCTCAAAACCTTGGTATCTGGTGACAGATTATGGGACTTCCACAGCAGAATTTCCCCGAATTTCTCACTGGCAAAAATTGTTTTCCACAAGTTATTTAGGACTTACTTGACAATCAGTATCTTACTCAAAATCCCTGGGCATTGTCTCATTTACCACTTTTATTATGGGGTTTTCTTTCTCTCCAGGTTCCTCCTACTACTTCTGACCCCCTGGCATTCATTTCCTTCTTTGCCAAAGGCTCCACAGTCAACTTCGATGAGAGAAGATCAGTGGCAATTCAGAATGTGGATAATACTGTCCTCATCCAGATGGACAAACCCATCTACACACCAGGACAAAGAGGTGGCTGAAGAGTTTGAGTCTGCTAGTGAACTGGGAAACTGAGTGCAAGGGTGGGTCTAGAATGACAAGGACTTCCTCTAGTGGAGGAAAGGACTGCAGTGGCCATGAGCAATCCTTCAGATAGTGTATAAATTTAATCTGAGATTGAGTTCATCAGAAGTAAGTGAAAACCAGAACCAAATAACAAAATTAAAATAAATTAGTAGAGTTCATTTGTTTTTAGTGAGTTAATCGCACTTATAGGATCTTTAGTTCTGTTGGGTTTACTGAGGTCAGTCACGTAAAAGGTGAATTAAAAATACAGAAAATAATAGGTTAAGCTTGGAATTAATAAAATTAATTTAAAAATACATGAAGCATGTAATTTCCTTTCAACAGCTCTTTCTACTTAACCATCAATCTAATTCACAGCACTTCACGATCTTTAAAGGACAGGATTAGCTGTGGTATAGTCAGTATGATTATATTAACCGATCATACTCTTTCAGGGTTTAGTATGATGACAAGCTTTACAACTAGAATAAAGACCAATTCTTCTTTCTCTTTGATTTTTCATTGAATTGGTTTGTATAAACATTTTTAGGAAATGCTTCAAAGAATTGAGTCTTTGAAGAATAAAAGGCAGTGTGGAGTATTTGTATTTACTATAGAGATTAATTTAGTCCTAGTGGGTGAGAACTGAGATACTTCAGCTGACAAGTTTAGTTTGGTTTTCTTTTTCACTGGCTAAGATAACCAAATCTTTCTAGTTTTCTTGGGACCCTTTAGTTCTCCTTAAAAGCCTGGGCCAATTTCTTTTAGGTTTTTGTTGAAAAATGACTTACCAGTGCAAAAGTGACTGATCCTTTTTTGTCCTGTGTCTTTTTCAGTGATGTTTCGTGTGATCTCTTTGGACAGCCAGTTCAGATCTGTTCAGGAAACAGTAAGTATGAGCATTAGTCAAGATTTTTCAAGCACCTTCTTGGGGTACCTGTTCTCTGAGACTCTCCACTTGGGAATGGAATAAAAAGGGCCTGGGATAGACCTGTTATTTTTGGAGAACTGCTGTAACTCTTTAAACTCAAATTTCATCCCTTCCCCAACTTTATAGAAGGCAAGGGATCTGAAAGCACTCCTGGAAATCTCTCAGGGTGCTCAGATTTTGTAATCACTTCACATGTCCCAGATATGTAGAAAGACACTGGACGTTTTTGTACAAAAGATAAATTAATAAACAGGTTATCCCCTTTAAAGTTAACACTTTAATTGCAGACATGAATTTCAACTTTTTTTCCTTGGCCAAGTCTTCTGTATCCTGAGAAAACTGTTCACACTCTTCATTGCTCTTCTAGCATTTTTCAAGCTCCACCATTAATTTATTGATGTCTTTATAATTAAAAAAAAAATAAAATTCTTTCTCTTTTTTACTCCCTCAGTATCCTCGAATCACCATTGAGGTAAGAGATGCAACGTGTCATTAAAGCACAAGTTGTTTTGAAAAGACTATGCATGTTTCATCATTCCCCATAGTGTGGGAGACTCTCCCAGAGTCTCTCCCAGAACAGACTGTCTGAAGCCAATGGGTCTGAGGTTGAAGAGTGACAGTACCCATGATCAAATATAAGAGAAGAAGAAACCAGCAGAGATGGAGATGTTAGTCAGAGATGGCATGGAACTACAGTAAATGGAGTGGTGAAATAGCCTCCTTCTCATAAAGGCATAAGAACAGCAACTTTCTGACGTGGTGTTCTGCTGGGGGCAGGCTATGCCCCCCTAACAATGACTCAGTATTCTTTTACATTTCACAGCATTACATCTCAAAACACTTTCTGTCCTAGAAGAGTTACAGATAAGCAACCTGAGCCCTAATCATGTGTTATTCCTGGATTATTTCAGGGCATCTGGCAGGGTAGATAATATCTAGTTAAACATAAACCTAGGCTTGTTTAATGCAGAAGTAGATCCAGAAAATTAACATGAAGTCAGAGCACATGTCATCAGACCAAACTCACATTCTCACTGTGATGCTCTTACACTTAAAAGAAGGCAAGAAGACAAGAAACAGAGTGATAAAGTTTTTTGTACATCTCTTTCTCCTACTCATCAGGATCCACAGCAAAACAAGATCTTCCAATGGCTGGAGGTAGCATCTAAGCATGGAATTGCCCAGCTCTCCTTTCCACTAAACTCCGAACCTATTCTTGGGCCCTACCACATCACTGTGGAGAAGCAGTCAGGTGGAAAAGAGTACCAGTACTTCATGGTTGAGGAATATGGTAAGAAATGGCTGCGAAATGCCCTGCACCAGCAATGATAGGATGATAGGAGCTGCCAGAGCAGAGTTTAAGTGCTTTGAATTCTACATGTCATCCCTGAGAAAGAAAGACATGTAGAGAGCTGAGTGAAGAAAGTCGAGGCAATAAGGGAAAAAAGAAAGGCTGAGAAAGGCAGCATTTTTCAGGGATTAAATTGAGTCCAATTCTTTTCTGGGCTTGGCACAAAGTCACTGTTTGACGTTGGAAATGTCATCTTGTCACTTGGGCCTATCACTATTAATCTGGTTAGAGGCAAAATAAATGGGTCTAACCTGTCCTGGTTTGTGGAGGTCATCACTGTATGAAGAGCACTAGGCTAAGATATGCAGTAGAAATCTGAAGATATTATCTATCAGACAAATTAAACTACAGATATCAGATTGTTACTTGGAAGGTTGGATAGCCAATGGAAGTGCAATAAACCAGTGTTTATGGAGGTGTCAAAGCCCTCATAGTGATCTGCTTGCCCTCTGGAATAGACCATATCAATGGACTTGCTGAAATTAATTTTCATTTTACAAGTTTTCCACCCTGTAGTGGCAGTTTTTCCACAGGAGTCCCTTGCTTGCCCTAAGCTTGTACAACTGTCAGATGTTTTATTTTTTTGTGAAGGCAGTAAAGCACTTTTCTTGCTTAACCATCAGAGCTCTTGCATACCTTCCAGCCTCCTGTCTTCAGATGCACAAGGAAAAGGCCTTTTCCAGCTCTGTTGTCATTATTGCTGGTGACACAGGACAAAGGATAAGCTGAAAAAAAGGAGTGACAGTGAATTATTTAATTTTATTATTTCACTTCACCTGTTGCCTTTCTCCTTCAATGGGGCTGGATGGTACAGTAACTTTTGTTCTCTGGGGCTTAACTACTTTAAGACAATGGCATTACTCCCACCATTTTCTTGAAGAAAAGGTATAGCAAATTAAAGCAATTTATCACAGTTCTTACTAGGGCTGCTGTCATTATTGGTATGATTATCATAGCATTTTAAATAAGTTAGTTGTCTTACCACCAAACATTATCTTACAGCTAGTTCTCAGATAGACTTTTCTCTAAACTATTTTCCCTCACTTGCCTTTGCTACTGTTTTTTTTAAACTGTCTCTCACACACATCTGCCTGTGGAATGTAACTGCTGATCAGTCACATTCATATTGTATTCCCCAGTGTTGCCAAAATTTGAAGTGACTAGCAATGTGCCAGCGAGGATCTCTTTCTTTGATGAAGAAGTTAAGGTGAACATTTGTGCTTTGTAAGTATCACAGCTGAGAACAACACATGTGTGCAGAAGAAACACAGGATAGAGGATGATGTGCTATGCTGCGAAGGCTGATTCAGAGAATGGGTTAGAGTAATTCCTTTAGCTATGACTTCCATTACATGAAATATGAAAACTGTCTTCCCTCCACATAGGAGAATTAGAACTGGGAGTTTGTGTGTGTCCAAAAGTTTGAAGATATCAAGCAGTACATACTCACTAGCTGTTGTTTTTTATTATTACAGAAAAGAGAAGAAGTAGTACAGGAGAGTCTATCACTGATTACTGTGACACTGCCAAGAGGCAGGGTGGCATGAATCAAAAGGGTGAATAGGGATCTCTCTGCAATATGTCCTGCTTTGTTTAACGCATTAATGAGAAAAAGCAAGCAGCAGGGAATGATATCCCAACCCTGAGCCCTGCACCACTTTCCAGCTTCAGACCTTGGAGAATGATTGCATTCAAGACAATGGTAAAGCAGGTTTTTCTAACAAGATGCCAGAAACAGACCAAAAATTATTGAAGGGAATTCTCCTAGGGTTAACTGGTCCTAATTTCCAGCCGCTCTTATATCTGTGCTCTGGGCACTTTAAAGTCTGCATTGCTCTGCAGTCTTTGCAGGTTTCATGCTAAGTCTGCATTATTGAACTCTTGCTTTTCTTCCTACCCTAGGTACACTTATGGCCAGCCAGTGCAAGGAAATGCCCAAATCAATGTGTGTCAGCAGCACTTTCATTGTCCACAATGTGAGAAAAAGAAAGAAGAAACTTGCAAAGCTGCAACTGGACTGGTATGACACAGGCAAAGTCTTTCTTCCCCATCAGATATACTACCCAGCATATAGAACTGTGTTTAGTGGCCTCATTCATTTGCTGACAAACACCAGAGAAGCATGTTTTTCTCACTATCTCACAGGCAACACTGAAAGACCATGAAGGTAATTTTTACCAATGACCTTATTAGAAGACTTTGGTTTTTCCTTCAGAAGCAGTCAGTAGGAGGATGGGAAGCTTATGAAACTATACATCATTCCTAGAACACTGGAGGTGTGTTCTTACCAAGTATAATAATAATCAGAACCTTACTGGGAGCCTTTGAGGACACAATATTAAACTAATGATTAATTTCTTCACTAGATCAGACTCAAAGTGCTGTGGTCTCAGTGCTCAGGCATCATGCAAGATGGGTTTGAGAAGGATTGTGAGCACACAGAGGACTAGGAGGAAAGAGAAGTTTCCAGGTACAAGGGTAGATAATGTTGAAACAATGAGCTGGGAAGGGAGCCAGGGAGTGAGAAGTGTTAAGAGAGGAGAGAACAGAAAGTGGGAGCTGAAGATGTCAGCAGATGCATGAAGCTCTTTTGAGATGCACTAATAAAGATTCAGGAACAATTTTCCAAACCTTGAGAAAAATAGTCTTCCCCCTGTGTGCTTCCTTTTCAGCTGGGGAAGGATGGCTGCTTCAATACTGTCATCTCCATCAAAACATTTCAGCTGTACCGCAGCTATGCCAGGATGTATACCAGCCTCAAAGTAGAAAGCATCGTCACTGAAAATGGGACAGGTAACACCAAGTAGAGGTTGGGAGTAGGTTATTAAAGCCAATAGGTGGTACTCTCTGAAAGGAGACTGGATCCCAATCTGTGGCAACAACCAACTAACAAGCACAATTTTCTTTGTGTAGCTTTCTCAATGTCCTGGTTTGAGCCAGGATGAAGCCGATTATTTTTTTTTTACTGATTTTTTTTTTCCCTTCAGTAAGCTTTCTTTTAACTAGCAACAGTGTGTTCTGCTAGGCTGATAAGACAGAGGAATGTTTTTCTAACTGCTGAGGCTTCAAGGTTGCACCTTCACTCTGCTGGCTCAGACACTACGGAAAGATCTGTGACCCCTCCGTTGTCAAACGGTGACAATAATTTATTGGTGCTCAATGTGGTGCTTGAACCCACAACCCTGAGATTAAGGATCTCATGTTCTGCCAACTGAGCTAGCCTGCAGAGGGATGACACACAAATTTGTGAAGTGTTCCATATTTTTTTCCAATAAATTGTTGTCACCATTTGACTCAGGTCCGACAACAATGCTCTCAATCCCCTCCCCCCCCCCACCCACGTAGGGAAGGAGAGAGAGAAAAAGAGAGAGACTTGGCTGGATTGAAACTAAAACTACACAGCTTTAATTAAAACACTAATGAATGATACAAGAAAATATATACAATTATATACAGATATATTCAGGTATGGGCAAAAGCCTCTTGCCTCCCCCCATCCCCAGCAACTCCCACAGCACTTCCCTGAACTGGGAAGAGTCCCGAGGAATCC